TGGAATGGACAGCCATCTCCAGGAAAAAGTGGCCCAAATGCCAGGATCACATTTTCTGGGTTTATTTCTGTGTCCATAATTCTTCATTGCTTTGGAAGTACTCTGATGCAGTCAAACAGTTTTACATTTTACAGTTTTTCTAGCTAACTACGCTGTTTACCAATTTATGGGAAGTGAAACTCTGACCTTTTTTGGAATCTAAAATTTTCAAGATAGCTATTATTCACAAACACTCCTGAAAAACCTCCTGCCACATCCAATACACAACAGGCCTTTTTCAGTCTAAATGCCTACCCTTACTTCCTTTGACAGAATTTCCAGATCCTACTAATATCTTTATGTGCCTCCTTCTCTAGCCATTGTTTTATAAACTGCTTCCTACCCTTGGTTTTGATTCCTCAGTTATTTAATGACAAAATCTTATTTCCTTGACAACTCAAAAACCATAACAGATCACGAAGTCCCTAAACCACACTCTATGTGTATTAGTCATTCCTGTCCAACCTACCTTTTGATTCATGCATTTTAAAAGCATTATTAAAGGTAAAATGCATAAAAATGTTAAAATTAAAATAAAGCAGGGGTTGTAAATTAAAGAAGGCAAAACAGGACTGTGTATGGCAAAATAATTTGAACACTGAAAAAAAAAGTTCAGTTCTGGCTGAGTCCTGACCAGTATCCAGACCAAAGTAAAACCATTATATCACTGGGTAGTGGCCCTGGGAGAGAGATTCCTTGAGACAGCTGATTAGGAACTGTTGGGTCTTTCTACTGACCTTCCCATCATTCTTGGCTCACATCCTAGTTTTTACCTATACTGTGAAAATCTTATTAACTTCCTAGAACAGTAATTTAAAACTCTAAGTAACAGAGACCTATGCCTAATTAATATAAGACATTTTTTTGACTGCCGCTCTCAATCTTGGCCTCTTTATTTTTAAAAATGTTTTTATTTGAAGCATATAAAATGTTTCATTGCTCAAAGAATGCAGGTTAATATGACTATGTTTATCCTTTAAAATCCATACAGGAGAGAGCTATTTCTACAGTGAGTATTTGGATAAACAATGATTAAGGGCTAAGAATACTATTTTTAAATAATTTATAATACTTTCTCCCTAAAGTTTAGTTTAGGGATAAAGTTAAGTTTTATTGTTACAATAATCTAGAGGGGAGAATAAAAATGTTGTAAATAGGTATGGGACTACATTAAATATAAATCTGAGAGAAAAAAATACTTAAAAAAACAACAAAAAGCTGCCAGTTTCAAGACATTATCAGCATCAAAGGTAGTAAAAACCATACGGGACCTTTAGTTGGATTCTCAATACTTCATTTATTTATCAAACATCTAATGTATGCCCTGCACCATATTAGACACTGGAATACAAAGACAGTGTGATCCCTGGAATCCCTGTACTGTTAAGGCATTCACAGTCCATGGGGGCAGGGGGGGCAGGTATAAACACTTACCCAAACAATGAGGAAGCACTCTAAGAAAATATAGTATAGATGATAACCTAATGGGACACTGTCTACTAAGATGAGAAAGGACTAACAGAGGACAGGAATGACGCCTAAGCCATTTCTTCAGAGATGAGAAGCACTTCACCAAATGAACACAACGGGGAAAGTTATTTTAACACATAAATGACAAAGAAAAAAAACAGTAAGCACTGTTGAGGAAATTAAAATAATAAACACTGCATATGTTAAGAGTAAAGGTTGCATGTGACAGAATGGAAAAGAGATGAAAAATTGTTTCAATCCATAAAAAAACTTTTCTTACGTCCATTCTAAGGAATTTGGTCTAAAGAATAAGCTGCAAATAAAAATGAGCTTTGCTTTGCTTTTTACAAAGAGCAGTGTAGTCACAGTGAAGAAGTTAATTAAAGGAAGGCTGAGGCAATAGGCTACTTCAGTAGTTCAGACAGAATATGGTAAAAACGTAAGCTGGGGTGATGGTTAAGTATGTAAAGGGAGTGAATTTCACAACAGATGAAAAGTAGACGTGACCTCTGACTACAGGGAAAGGGAAGAATGCAGGACTTCCATCCTGTGTCTATTTCAGAATTTGGAACTAGGCCTACTTTCACCACACATCAACCATGGGATTCCCTTAACCTTTATAAGCCCTGTTTCTTTACATACAAAATGAAGGGACTGGAGAAGATGTTCCCTGATGTCCCCTCAAGCTTAAAATACTCATTACTCTGACTACTCAATATACTGGTCTTAAACAAATACCTGGTACTATTACCCGTATTTGCCGGCGT